TTTACTTGATTTTTCGCGAAAATTTCTCATCCATATACTCGTTTTACTTTTATTATACGGTGTTGCATTATCCGGATGATAGTCGCTCGTGAATTGTGTCCAGAAAGTTTATTGATTTATGTAGCTATACGACGATGGTTATGCATTTCTATGATACATGTGGTTTCAAGGAGATAGGGTAAATGGAAATTATGTGGTGTATTTTTGGAACAGATGTAAACTTGTCGAGTAAAAAGGCTATATGTGGCGGTAATATTTATTAAGTCCGGAATAATAGCGATTTGGACCAACACCTTCCTGTTGGAGCAACATTATTCGCCGAGACACGCTTACAATAAATTGTCCTATAGAAATATATTATATATAAATTATTATACAATAACCTACTAATTAGTAAGATTTCTGTCGTAAAAAGAATATTTATCATTTTATAATCATGATATTACTACTTCAAACTATCTAATCAGTTGCCTGTATTTTACAGAGCTATAATTTGGTTGAAAAATTATTGTTCTGCGTTGTTTTTATATCACCATATAAACTAGCTTGTAACTTGTAAAATTAGAATTTATATTACTAGAACTCATCGCTTTCGAGTTAGCAAAGCGTTAGCTTCAAACGAATAACAAAAGTTTTATCACAAAATTCAATATTGATAGAACCAGATAAGTAATTTCAAAATTTCTTTCAGCAACACACCTTTCATTCCTTTCCTTGTTTATTTGATTTCCTGGATGCTCAATATTCAATGTGTTGACAATTCTGTTCATTTTCTTCTGCATATAAGACAGCCTATCACGCTAATCAGGGTAACAAGTTACGCAAGGGCGAGAGACTTGTTTGGAAAGTTTACGTTACGTTCGAAAACCTCTCCTTGTGAAAAGTTCGTTTTCCAACTACTTTACCTCCTGAACACGTCTTCCTGAACTCGTAGGTAAGACAGGATTGAGAGTTTCCTGGAGAAAGCTAGGCCTCGATGGCGATCTTCATATATACCCTCTCCTATATGTATATATGTATTATAGTTAACAAAACTCATGAATATTTCTCACTGGATAGAATATTCTTGGAAGAAAAGCTGCGATAATCTTGAATTATCCCTTACCATTGAGAACACTTAATGAATTTAATTGATACTTGATGAGCTTAATATTCTTGAAACTCGCCTTAATAACGAAATATTATTATAAAAAATTTGGAATACATACTTGAACAAAAAGAATATGGTAAATATCTGATAAAAATATTATCGGAGGATATATTACAAGCAAAGAAATTGGAATAAATAGGAATATTATTTAATAAGAGATACTCTGATTTTTGTTTATAAAGTTCAAAAGCTGTTTAGCTTTTTCTGGGAAATTTTCAACTATTTAACAGACCATTAGCTTTAGATATAGCGTTTCTTCCATTGCAGACTTTGTGCACTTTTTCTAAAGAACTAGCTGCAATAGCATCTGTCTGTGGGAAAGTTTTCTTCATGGAATCGTTTGTCAAGTATACCGGCTTCTAAAGATCGTTAAAAACTAATTTTCACCTTGTTCTTGAAAAGCTCTTTGGATATGACACGTCTACCCTCTTGTGGAGACTAGGAGAAGTAGAAACTTTAAAATCGAAATTTTCAACTTTCAGTGATATAACCTAGTTTTCTCTATAACAACGTTCTCTATTATCTTTCGTTCTAATAATAACCAGTGGCTCTTCAAATTACATTAGTCTTTATTATGTAAAAATATGGAAAAGTGCAAATATTCGAATACGTAATTAAGAATAATATAATTATATTAAGCAAATATTCTCATTGATTCCTAAAAATAATTGGTTTCTAAAACGCGTTTAATCATAAATGACATTTTCTTCTTTACCTCCTTTATTTAAAGCATTTAAAAATTTCTACATTGATATTCTACTTCACTATGCTACTGAAGGTTGTTAAATTTTGAATTTGAATTCTTCATTTTTGAATTTCAAATTTTAAATTTGTGTTTCAAATTTGAAACTTCAAGCTTTGAATTTAAAAATTCTTTAAGTCTGAAGGTTGCATGATTTTATAAGGGTTTCCAATGGTTCCAAACGTTTCAACATTTCAGAAGTGCAGCACATTTTGAAAAACATATTTGTGCTTCCTTTAATTCTTTCAAACGCTATTACAAGCAATCAATTTTCTATAAAGATATAATGTGTTCCTTTGAATTCCGTGAAACTAAAAATCGAAAAATCGAATGAAAGCATTGATCAATGCTATTTTGAAACAGTTTTTGTTACCTCTTATGAACCAATGGTTTTTACAATCTTTTCTATATTTTTATGCATAAAACATATTTCATGAAGTATAATACCTAGTTGTTTTATAAACGGAAAGTTGATCGATGAAGTATATTATTTGATTGTTTTATATTACTTTATACAATTACATTATTTGATTGCTTAACTTGAATCTATTGATTCAATTAAAGTTTCATTTTACACAAACTTCTCGCAGCTATTGTAACTCGTTCGACAATTTTAGTGTTATATAGTTTGTTTACTTGATTTTGAAGTGCGTAAATAAAATTTAATGTTTTTTACAATTTATTTTTACAAAATAATTCTTACAAAATATTAAATACATTTTTAGAGATAATAAAGTTGGCGTATTTAAAAGTTTCAGTGAGCGAGATTAAGAGTGAATGTATCGTATAAATGTATGAGTCCTAGTTGTCAGAATTAAAAAGTGAAACTGCAGGTATCGTTTAAATCGATAACGTCACCTCGCCTTTTCCGTTTAAATTGAAATTATAACCTTCAGTAAATTGAAGAGCGTGGTTATCATCGTACACCACGATATGCCATTTAATTTCCAGCGCGTGCGAAACAAAACACTTTCCCTTCTGCGATTGAAATGACGATTAAAGTACCGGAGCGTGGCCAATTATCGCGAATCAATGGCATGAAACAAAAGCCCGTCGCGGCCCCTTCGTCTCACTTACGTCAAGGGAAAAAGGAAATCGAGCCACCAGAGCTGCAATAATAGCCATTTAATTCTTTCCCTTAGAAATTTTCAAGCAATTTACCCGCATACAATTTCGCATTATATTATGTATTATGCGTATTATGAAATTGCTTTCAACTTTTTTAATTGACAGCTTATTTCATGAATAATACGTTTCATTTAGTGAACGTTTCAATATATATTTCGAAAGTCTTTAATACGGAGTATAAAATACATATGAATTAATATCACATTCACTAAAATGTGTAAAATATTATCTCACATAGTAAAAATATATATCAATTTAAATTATTGCAGTATTAACTATCTACAACAGATAACAGATAAATTTATAATGTGATTTAAGGAAAAGAATATATGATATGTTTGAAAGTATTTTATCTTTTCGCTTAAATTTAATTACTTCTTACAGAAATTTCTAATTAGAAGAAGAAATTATAATTTGAAATTATACAGAGTCTTAAAGACAATTTCCAACAGAAAGTTTGAGCATTTATATTATAGTATGAACGGAAAAAAATAACAAACATTTAATTAAAGTATGTTATATGCTTTTAATGTAAAAAGTTTATATTTTCTTATACGAATATTTGATAAATTCCGTAAAAAAAAATGGTATGTTATTATATCAGTTGCATCAACAAGAAGAAAATACAAGAAAATTAATGTGTATTATATTGATTCATGAGAAACAATGTAAACGTTTTTTCAAATTTCCCTAAATAGGTTTCTTTAAACAATTCCTTTATTTCTGCGTGTAATGTATTATCAAGAAAAATATTTAAATTAACTCCAAATACAAACTTGCAGTTTAATTTGTGTTCGATAAGAAAAAAGTAAATTTGTGTTGATTAAATTTTCGCTTTGTCAGTGAATATTGTACATTTTTGAAATCTTAGTTTCATATTTTCTAGGCATCTTGAAATGCCATCAGTAAAATTACACATAATTTAAAATTTACAAACGATCATAAATCATTTCTCACAATTTCATTACGATTATATATGTATAAATAATATTCAAAAATACAACTACCCGACACAAATCTCTACATGCACTCTATGCACTCTAAAAAAAGAAAAAAATACACCAGTAAAATTCACTCAAACCCATTCCAACATGTCCTTACAATACTCCATACATCAATACATAGCTCGCATTCACCCAAACAAAACATCCAGCATCAAAGTTTCATCCAATAACATACCAAACCTAAATTCTATGAAAGAGAAGCTCCTAAACAATATCCTACGTGGTTATATGTACAGTTGCTCACGAAAGAATCCAAAAGCTTGTAGAGATCTATCACAAATATATTATGTGTGTTATACAAAATATTTTGAAAATTCATTAACATTGTAAGGAGATTTGGCTACTATAATTATATTGCCAAAGTTTGAAACAAATCTAAAAATGTGCATTTATAATCACGACAGTTCTCTCAGTTCAAATTTAGTCATACGAAAGTCCTACTAAATCATACGAAATTTAATACCGATCTTAAAACCGATTTATTAGTATGCGAATAAATCAATGGTATGAAATACTTTTTATAGTCACTATACATAAAAGGTTCCTATAATATATACTCAAGTATTTTTCTGAGCCACTGTACTGCGTATAATTCCAACTACCAATCCACAGAACCCGAATTTCGCACAGGATTCCAGGTGATCGAAAGCACCTTAAACGCGTCACCACACAATAGGGAGGCGGATCGGTGAACCGGTCACGTCACGACGTAACGCAGGCCCGTTCAAGCGTATTCACGATCAGCCGAGCGATTCCCGGTTTTACGATCGGATTGTCGTATGCGGAACACCAGGGCGGTGGTCGATTCGTCGATGGCGTTGCGGAATATTTGCGAATACACAACGAGACATCGGTAGATCGGGGCCAGATAGCCATCTATCCAATCGAATGGCGTCGCGTTCGAGCGTGCCCTGTGTATACGAGGTGTACACGAGGGAGGCGGGATAGTATCGTTGCAATGTGCTCATTGTTTCAGTACCACCGGATATCCTGGACGACTCCACCAGCACCGACATGGAGGTACGAGAGGGCAGCAATGTGACATTACGATGCGCCGCGACTGGTACCCCCAAGCCGAAGGTCACGTGGCGGCGAGAAGTTGGTGGCACGATCGCACAATCGAATTCACACGAAGGTACGTATTTAAGGAGTAAATGGAATGAGCGTGACAGATATACTACTTCTTGGGTTTGCGGAGACTGTATTTAATACTAGAACTAGGAACTTATAATGAGTGATACCTCTTACAAATGTTAGGTTCTTAATAAGTTTATGCTGTATTTGTTACTCTGCTGTTCAGAAGCTTTTATTAAATGCAGCAGAAGGTTGATTTTGAAAATGCCTATTCTCATTAAATGCAATGGTTGGTTGATTTTAAAAATTCTCATTTTTCTTAACCCAACACCTAGTTATTTACGTCAACCATGCAGTAATTTACCGATTTGTTACTTTGTTTAAAACGTTGAAATATTATATGCGATTGGTATTACATAGCCTTAGATACAACTCAAAGAAACGTCCGGATCTCCTTTTACATTATCCGCCATTCAACTGGTCTGCTACTTCTATTTGACCCATCTGCACCGACTGGACCATGTTTCCTTCTTTCGCACCTTGGGTCCATTTATGCCTGCTTTCTCGCTGCAGGCATTGTTATCCTGCAATCGTCCTCGCCTCATTCCGCGTATATTGCCACTTTTCTCGCACCGGGAAGCACACTTTCCCTGGACCTTCTTCTGCCGAATAAAGCTGGGAAGGACACACGACTCGTTCGCCTCTCTGATTGCATGAGATCTTTATTGCGAGGATAGAGTAGCAACGCCTGGGTTTTGACAGCTACGCCAGCTAGATGAGATCGCGCCCCCTGCTCGTTTCTTTAGCGTCTGTGCTTGGACGCGAGATGTCTTGCGACGAATTCTAGCTCGTGTGAGTCATGTGTTTTGACTCATCTTAAACTGAATGATGGAGTTAATTTCTAGTATGAATGGATGTTTTACAGATTAAACGTAAAATAGTGATATGTACGCTATAAGATTGGTCACACAACTAAAAGTGAGTTAAGTATACTGTTTTGAAACGTAGATTATTCAAAATTTTTTCATAATCATATTTAACGGATCAGAAGATAATTTGATTATATATAATTCGAGCTTGGCTTACCCTAACTCATCCATTTCGATTAGTTTCATATATAAATTGAACATATAGTCCCTTATACACTACCTTATAAAACAATGGAGATTTAGATTAACAAAAATTGATAAAGTCAATGAAAGCAGAATATAGATTGAATTGCAATAAAATGAATGAGAATTTTATTTCTATGGAATATATGAATATAGATGTTTATTTTATCAGTTTACAATTTTGTTTTGTTTATTTTTCCATGTTACAATTTTATTTTAATAAAATTCAGCACATGGTCCCGATTTAATACAAACTACCATGTGTGAGGAAGCATAATTTAATTTTGCCAAGGGAGGATAATAATTAAAGTCGTACTTCGATACAGTTTAACGCGGTCAGTAGAAATAAAACTTGACTCAATTATAATTCTGCGAAACGTATAGAAACAGAATAAAACAATCGACGAAACGAATAAAGTTTGAACTATGTACCAGTAGAACATTGTATTTATGAATTTAGAGTTTACTAATTAAATTAATTTAATTAAATCAACTTTAATGAAAGTAGTATCTATAGTACTCATTGTTAGTAGTTTAAGATTGATGTTTGTAGAGACTATTATAATATTTTACGCTTACAAATTAATTTTCTAATGTATTTACATGGATATGCATGTTTACTTCTTTATTTATCGATAATCATGTAAATATTTGCGATTAACATATTCCACTGCTGAAACTTTCTTTACTTCTATAAAATTCTACTTTTGTCAAAGATAGCATTAATTAAACATTAGTTTAAATAATGTTTGTTCCAACTTCGATGCTTACTGTTTTCCTTGTCGTTCAAAATCTTTCTGCTAAAACACGTACATTAAAAGACACAACTGTGTCAGCAGATATTGTTGAGAGTATGGTAGCTCTGTTTAGTGCATATGCTGCATGCACAACGTATAGGTCAATAACAGCGAATGCATTAATCCATTGAAGACCAGCGAAATGATGCACGAATTATACGTAAACGCTGCATTATTGTTCTATAACGAATTTGAAAATATTAATATTCGATTGAAAATTATAAATCTCAAAATCTGAAAATTAAAAACCTTGAAAGTTTGAGTATTTGGAAATTAGAGATCCCGCGTTAACGCAACTTTATTCTTTGATAGGTTGATTACATCAAACATCAATCACCTGTTTTTGGGACTTTTACGAATACTTTAAGTCATAAGAGCAGTGAACATTTTTCATTAATGAACATTTGATTATTTTAGCAAACAATTATTAATTGTAATATATTAATTATAATGAAATATGAGTCGAAAAATATTTTGCTTTCGGTACTAGAGCCAAAAGTGAATCCAGTTAAGCATTGATCGTGTGCTTTACTGTTCATGTGTTATAATTGATTGACGTTCTACAGTAATACGTTTATGGATGTCGCACTGTGTTATTCTACGTGTTTTCGGTCATCGACTTCCCTGTCACACACGCAAATATAACGAGAATAACATCATTCAAAAACGGTCTTGTCCTATTTCGACGATATATTTGACATACATATTATTCGCATAAACTTACACGTAAAGCACAATACATCCAATTACAATTCAGTCGAATATCATTCGTTATTCAATTAATTATTCCCATTTCTATAACATACTGATATCAATCAGGAATTATTGACGACCTAGAGCATTCTGGAGAATTCTAATTTATAATGGAACGAGTCACGAAAACGTTCGATGAAAGAGAATTGTTAATAAATTACTAATAATAATCATTTTGTGATACGTCGAACGGATCGATCGCCATCGTCAATCATATAGAGATGACACTAACGATTACTGAAAAATTATTGATAACTTAATGATGCTTATCAATATACCAAGTGATATCGCCGAGGTACCGGCGAGATAGATAGAAATGACTACAGAATAAATAGAACGTAGCACGCGATAAATTTATCACTATACTGCAGATTTTTTACAAATTCATATTTTTCACCCACTATATATTATCAAGAGTATTTTGTACGGACATTTTATATACTTTTTGAGCCAGATATATTTTGTAAATGTCCGTACCATAAGAATTTTCAAAACTGCTTTTAAAATCCTTTAAAGACAAATACTTCAATCCTGAAAACTTGAAGTTTCAATTTCCTTTTTCTTTTCCTTGTCGCAGACCAGTCAATTACACGTCATTCTCCTTGACGTACTCATTAAGCACGATGCACTTCAATTAAATAAACGAACAGCGTTGAACAGTGCATCTCGGAATCGACATGCAATAGTATAGACTAATCTATCCTCCAATTCGGAAATCGATACTGGTCGGTTTCCTTATCTATTTCTGTCCAGGTGGAATCGATGTGACGAGCGTTTCAGTTTTCAAGCCGTCAAAGCGTCCATCGGTCGTTTTGTCTATCCTTTTGCCCCTTAATTACCATTTCTGACCCCTTATTGGAATTATTCAGTTGTCTATTCTTCGTGCCACTCTGTCTCTTTACCCGATACGCAATTTCTCTGATCCAAGTCCACCCCTCCCCAGCTCCCTCGAGGCGCCATGACTGTTCAACCCATTCCGTGACTAATTGCACACGGAAGTGCAGGGGACGTTTCGAATTGTACGGTCTGCAGGTGCGTAAGCAAGAGGGTTAGCCTAACCCTTTCTCTGCGCCCTTCTCCTCACCCTTTCCTGGGCCGGATCGTTCTCAATCCTCCTCGTCCTTTCCAGACTCGAGCTTAAACACTAAGACTACGAACAACGGTGACAATTGCGAAGCGTTTGTGGTTTCTCGTTTGAGCGAGCCAGGCGACAATTTTTTAGCCACTTTAGCCAGATAAATGGCCAAGGTTCTCTTCCCGTTAATTAAAATCCTTAATTCTAGACTTTTAATTGATGAAGGAGTTGAAGTCTGGAAGGGTTGAACGATTTCTTTTTAAAACAACTGACAATTTCGGGAACTGAATAAGAATTGGAAATTGTGGCAGCAACCATGAACTGGAAGACTCGGGATCCCGTTTCTGCTTTTCTTAAATCTTTTGGAGCTTAACCTGAAACTGTCTTTTCTGTCCTTGGATGAAATAAGAGCTTTTCTTCTCACCTCGTTTGACAAATCGTTCGATTACGTTTGAATAGTCGGCTCCCGTCATGTTTCAAGTCGCTTCTTCAAGAGCAAGAATGTGACGTTTGGGAAGAGTTTTGGTAATTTCTAGCTGTTAGAAGTTTCTTTTCTTGTAAGAATTTAAGTAAAGATTGCTTCACTACACAATTTTCTTTACATTTTAAAAATAATGTTTTCATATGCAAATACCAATACTTTATGAGTGTTAACACGTGATAGACAGGTTGATACATAATTATATATTTGTATGTATATAAGGTTATAGCATATATTTGAAAGATTGTAATAATATCTTAGTACATCTAGAACTTTTTATACATTGAAACTAACATCGTCAGTGACGTTTTACAAAATACAAGTTACAATTTATCGATAAGTTGTAAATTCTGTGGCATAATAGTGATATTTTTAACCAGAAAACGAAATTTTACAAGAAAATCTTATTAATTACAAGTCATACAATTATCCTATTTGACGTAAAATTTCATTATTAATTACTAAATCATCTCATAGGAGAGTGTCAGCTTCCTTCGTTCAAATATACGTCAGCTTATCGTATCTATTCGCATTCTACGTGAATTCTAACTGAACCAATCCAACTTCAAACATCACGTAGAAAGAAGAATCCTCAAAAATCGAATGTCTTCAGGTATCTACCGAAAGCTTTGGAAGCTGTATCTATAGGATGTATCGGATCCGAAGTTTCGATATAAGAGAGGATATGACCTATACTAGAATGAGAAGGAATTTCGCTGGTCTGGTTAGAAGATAGGAATGAAATACCGGTGATTTATTCACCGGATGAACTTTTTCTCGTCCTAGTCTGGTTTTAAGGAATCGTTTTAAGCATTTGTCGCCGTTGCTTCCTTTTATTCTTCCTATTCGCTTCTTATGCGCTTCTGCTTCGCCCAGCTGTCGGTTCTCGACGAGAAGCGGTTCGATTCCATTAGGCGATAAGTAAAAGAAAAATAAAATATTCCATCAGTTCTGTATACCTATTTCTATTCTTCCGCCTTTTTCCCCCCTATCTTTCTGTTTCTCTTACTTGTACTTTCGAAACGACGTTTTGTCCTTTCGCAGCAGGCACGCAAGGCCGAACTTGATGGCGCTGGTAGATGAAAAGCAAAGTCTTTTCCCCGGTGAAGCTTCCTGTCGGTAATTTCAGAACAGCTAGAAGCGATGTTCCCGTAATTGCCCAAGTACGAACAGCTTGACACGTGGAATGAATTTCGACGGGCTAAACGATCTTCTCAACAGGTGTTTAAAGGGATGTGCCTTTTTTGCGCCTCTTTCAATGCACTCAATTAGGGTTGCATCACCCTCTCCTTTGAACTACGAACTTAGTCTTCTGCCGTATTGGTAAAATGTCTTTTCGAAGTTTTAGAAAGTTTATAATGAGTTGAAAATGAAAAATATTTGGATGCTCTTTACCTTATTTTCATTTCCTGTTCCTACGCAAATTAATTATCATACGGTGGAGTTGTTCCGTAATGGGAAATTGAATGTTAGAGACCGAAAATTGGTAATTTATTTGGTACATTTTGTCCTTTGTATCTTTTATATCTTAGATGATTAATTATTAAACGGATGGAGCGAGAAATTGAAAGCTTTATAATAATAGGAGATCGGATATTAGAAACTGAAGATCCGCAATTAGTAATTGGTATTTGGTAGTTAAAAGCTATTAATTGGACATAGAGAGTTCATGTTGCTGGAAATTAGCGAAATTATCAAATATCGTTTATTGTTTCGTCAAAGTTGATGATTAGCAATTGGTTATTGGAAATTTGATTGATTAAGTCATCAAATGTATTGGTGTGTTTATTGCTTTACGCAGATAAAACAGAAAACACACCACTTTAAATCTCAAATTCTGTATTATTCTCAATTACGTCATAATTTTATTTATTAATCGATGACAATTGCAAAATGGTTATTGAATATTTATAAACATATTAGTAGCTAGCACTTGAAAATTTTAACTTGACAGAAACTTCATTATTTTGAACTATATCGTAAACTACAATTTAATCATAACTTAATCTATACCATAGTTAAAAGTAAAGAATAGTAATAGTAATTCTATTTAGTGCCCCATATTTTTCGTCTGCAGTAATACAAATCAACAATTTATTTTTATTCCATAAAATTCGAAGACCTTTAATAGAATTATTCGTATCGTGCAATGCCTGGTATCGTTGTTTGAAGTAATTTCAACGTCCGAGGAAATTAATTTCCTCATATCAGACTATAGTTATCCAATAAATACTACTGCGAAAATGTAGTCACGTTCACGGTAGTGAAACGTAATAAAATTTACGTAATTAATTATATTGGCGATGAAACGAGACTGCGTTAGAATAAAATTCAACTTGTTGTGTTTGCTATACATTTACGATTTCCATCGTTGAAAATTCAAAAATTGTTTACTGACTGTCTCGGACCTCGCCTCTTTCGATAGCACAACACGCAAAGCGCTTTTTATGAGATTAAATTTCAATTTTCAAATTGGCCATCAATTTCACAGATCAGCAAGCGGCTCTAAATCAAAAGATCCAAACAACAAAGAGGCCAAATTCTACTTTGAAGTGGCGGTTTCGTTTAAAGTTTTTTATACAGAGATTAAATTCGAACGAGTACATGATCCTATTTGAGGTGATATCGTAAATTTTTATCAAATTTTCTAATTTTGTAAAAAGGAAAATGCAAAGCTGCAAGTTGTACGCGTTGGAGAGTTCCTTCGTAAAAAACTTCTAGATTATTTCTCTTATGGTGTTGACTGAATTTTAGAAGAATTTTGATTCTAAATGTATGAAATTTTCTTCAAATCGTTAAACTTTCGCAATGAAACTCTGAAACTACTACCTGCCTTTATTTAGCGGCTTAATAGTTATTTTAGCTTGCAGATTTCCCTACACTTTAAATGTTTTTAAGGAAAGTTTGAAGTTATTGTAGTCGCGCGTTTATATCTATTTTGTTAAAGAAGGGGTTGTGTGGTGAGAATGATGTTTTCTAAAAGTAGCTATTAGAGTAAAAATTGGACGAGAAAAATGTTAATCAAATAACTGGATACTCCAATCACGAAACTCGTACATTTAATTCAGAATGATTTATCATAGTCATATTCAGCAGCATTGCAATATCTCAAACCCAAAATCGATATTTCAGATGATTTGTCTCTTTCGTATTTCTATAATACCGACATACTGAAGATTCTCTCGTTTCAGATTCTCAAATTACGTATGTCATTGAAGTTCATAAAGTCAGGAAATTAGCATCTCCTTTCGCGGTTTCTACCATTACAGTCGCTACTTTAATAAATTGTCGGTACGGAGAATTTCACGGGCCACAGAGGAGGTTTCGTTAAACGCGGTTACATCACTTATGTGCCCCTTCAAGCGATCTAATTAAATCTCTTAAGTAGGTTTTCCGTTTTTGCCTTGCAACGTTCACCCACTCGTATCCGGTGCATCGCACTCCGACTTCTCGTGGTTCGAATATTTTCCAGCAGATTACAGCCGTTCCACGGGTATAATCATATTTAACGTTTACCAGCCTTAGCAGCAACCCGGCGGCAACGTTATTACTCGTAAACATAGGCATTGATTACGTAAACAGCTAGCAAACTTTATAACAATTCACCTGTTTCGTGTACTCGCCATAACGAAAATATGCACTTACGCTGTCCTTTGAAAGTACCGAATCGGCTTAATTTTGATATCATGTAAATTCAATTCCAAAATTACGAATGACCAGCATTTTTTTCTTATTTACTAATTATTATTATTTTTATTATTATATCATTTCGAAAAATATAAATAACGAATGTTACGATTTTATTATTATTATTATAGCACGATGAAGCTGATTTTATTTAAAAGATAATATACGATAACTGCAAATTGATATTTGTAAAAGATCTGGTGTTTGAAAAGATTTTTGTCTGCATTATATAGATTTTAAACCGTTCTTTCAAATTGATAGAGGGAATATCTTGATTAATTCAAGTACTTATGCCATATTTAATACCAATGCGTAATACCAAAGAATCGTTCATTTCATTTTATATTTTATATCATATTTTTGATGTGTCTGTAATTTATAATTTACTTTTAACTTTATAACATACTTTAAATTTTACCTGTAATTCTAATAGAATTTATTAAACATCACTACTGTGAATATGACTCAAACATTAATCAATTTCTCATGGTTAGAAATTGTATAATGATTGTTGATAATTTCAGTTCAGAATGTTTGCTTTTAAAGTAAAAATAATCTAATAATAAATTTCATAAACTTTATTTCTCGAAGGAAGAAAGTCAGTAACCTCCTGATATTCGTTATTTTATAAACATACTTGATAGGAATCTGTTTTCTCCGGCATAATAATTTCCTAGTTCAGGAACGGAAATCCACCGGATGCTTCTTAAAAGGTCTCTATCTATGCAAAGGTTCAATAATGTATTTTAAGATTTCATTCCTTCACTTACGATTTTTATAAATAGTTAAATGAGCAATTAAAAAGGAAATTCTCTTCTTTCTAAATTAGCTAAGAATAATCAAAATATTAAAAATATTATGATATAACTATAAATTTATGTGTCGGAAGATATTTTGTACAAAATATATCGGTTCTTTTATGACAGACAAATGTTTATAGCCATTGACTGCATTTAGAGAATTACAGACATAAGGGAGCATTGATAATGATTACTTGGGGTGTGAAAGAGGAGTTTATGGCTATCCAAGGTTTTGGGTGAACGTGACCGAATGTGTATACATGTTATTTTGTCTAGCTTAAGTAAAAGAGGATATAAATTAAAGGAGGAAAATCTATCAGCATAAAATATTCAATTTATCCTACGACCAACTATCAAACTAGTTTAGTCACCAAAAATATAAAATACAGTATATTCAGGGTATCAGCATTAATGTCAAATTATTAATATCAAATTAATTTCAACCATCAAAAGATATAAAATACGATTCGATTTCTTATAATATTTTATAACGAAGCAGCATCAGTCAGCTCCAACATTTCAGATATCAGAGTTATGATCCTCGACTTTAACTGCCGGAATAAATCTCTACCACTCCACTTTCTATTCACCGAAAAACCTTTCATTTACTCGAAAAATCAACTAAACCAGAAAAGGCTGCATAACAGATATTCAAGTGAATAACCTATGCGAAATCGACTGCTTAATGCACTGGGATTTTACGCGGTAGCACTATTTGACAGCTTTTATTTGAGATTCGCAGAGCTGGACGAGCGCGATAGCAATTTTTCGGAAATATCTCGGTTTTAAACGTTCCCGCAGCCGCTTATGGCGGGGCCAACAAATGAAACACGCACTTCTATACATTTGTATGTTTTGTTACAGTAGGCGAGGGCTCGGTGTTGAAGTTAACTCGCGTCACACGTGCCCATATGGGACCGTATCTATGCATAGCGTCGAATGGTGTACCTCCAGCAGTCAGCAAGCGGATCGTGCTCAATGTTTACTGTAGGTTTTTTACTAGAAATACATTTTAAGAAACTATATAATATGTACACAGGCTTACGATAATAATATCTTAACATTACCATAAAAAATTTGTGTATATGTATTTCATATATGTATCATTTAAAACATTTCGAAGTGTAATTAGCACTGTAATGAGATACGACTGTCATAATTATATTAATCAAATTTGAAACTATTCTGGCAGTGTATATAAAAGTTCTGAGATATTTAGTTTTATAATCATGGGATTAAAACTTAAGCAATTGCTTAATAAAGATGTTGGTAATTATAAAATATAAAATATTTCGAGATAGTCTCCTGAGAAAAAGTTTGCAAGAAATTGCAAAGAATTACTTTAACTTTATTCGAGAGTTCAACGGAACATAAATGATCTCTCGTGCGAAGATAATGTTATTTGATTATTCGAACAGCACGTATCATGATTAACTTGTATAACTATGTTTCTGATTTCATCTGATTTCTTAAAAAATGTATTTTTCTTACTGTTCATTGTTCCACCCTATCAAGCCAATGATATTCAATTAACTATGCGAGAAATACATTTAATACGTTTTATATAACACTAAATAAAATTGTCAATATTCATAATGAATTTTTATCCTACTTAGATTAATAACGCAAAAAAGATTCTCAGAACCAGATTCAGAATATCAGTTCAGAACTACACAAATAAATTCCAACTAAATATATCAAGTTTTGAAAATTCATACAAACAAAAAAACAATCCTATTTGTATGGGATTAATAACGAAAAAGAATTAAATCGTTTGTATATATCAAAAATCCTTCGACTCGTAAAGCAACTAATGGCATTCCAGCTTGGCACAAAGACAAACAACCGGAAGCACTAACAGTGCATTATGCACACGTGTTGGAAAATGCAATTTAAGGTCTCGCTATATGGCCGTGGATCTGTCGGGAGAACGGTACCATAATGACGCCACTTGGGAGACCGTGAATGGCAGATGCAGGGGACCATTGTTTCCGGCGCTGAAGTAACGCCTTAAATATTGTCTGCCGGCGGCAAACCTCTGCTGTCACGAACCGACCTGTCGACTATCTTAACGGATTGATTAAAATGAGGACCCTTAAAACGCACGCTTTGAACTAAAAAAAAACCATTGAAATTCCAAATTTATTCATTTCTTTTTTCTCCTGTCGCTTTTATTAACACCATGACGATCGGTTAGTGTAGAACGTTACTTTCACGTAGAACGTAGAATTGAGATTTTTATTATATTTTTAGCAAAATTCAATAACTTTGAATATTTGAAAAATGCAAAGATTTGATAAATTGAATGGGATGTGGAATTCCATTGAAATCTATGAAATATGGATATATTTTCCTTAGTGATTAAATAATAGGAGATTGCAATTCTATTCTCAGTAGAATTTATTAATTGATATAGAGATAAATTTGCCTTGATATCAGTAAAATCTCAGTAGAAGGAAAATATGACATTTCAAAATATGAACATGGTTAAACTTCCAGTCCCATGAAGTATTGCTTTCAGAACAATGATTTGTATTAGAGAAAAAGTACGGTATGAGTAACACAGAAATATTGAATGAAAGGAAAAGATGATAAAATGTCTTTTAATATCAATTAATATGTAGTCTACAGTTCTTGAAAATGCAGTGCTAATATCTCAACACAATATTTTGTTGCTTAAATATGTTCCTATGCTATTCCTAAATTTCTGAACTATTATTACACTTTCGAATGTAATCGACTGTATGCCTGTAACTGAACAAAATATTTAATATACGAGACAAATTTTATACGAATTATTATCAGAAATTATTTTTGCAGTTCAGCCAATGGTGTGGATCGAAAATCAGTTAGTGGGCGCTTATGAGGGCCAAACTCTCGTCCTGGAATGTCACAGTGAGGCTTATCCAACAGCGATCACTTATTGGACTAGGCCATCCAACGAAACGATCACAAATGGTACGAAAACATTAAATTCTTTCCTATAAAAGGACATCCATTTCGTTTCCTCAATATTTATTTTAATATGAGTCGATTAAATGAGTTACATTTTAAAAGTAAACCTTCGTATTTTTAAAGTTTCAAGTCTGTCCATAGAATATACATTAACTTGTTTATATTCCATAACTAGTTTATATTGAACATCTTTGTCTTACTTGGTAATTCTTGAAAACTGTACGAAATTCGCATATTTACGAATACTAAACAGTGGTCAAAATTCTAAGATAATATTTGAAGTGTAAAAACGTTTGCATTACAAATTATGTAATACTAGTAAAAATTTATCATTGCGGGTTTCATGCCGAATATAACCAAAAGTTTAAAAGAAAATCAACATCTGCTATCGTGGACAATTCTTCGACCAAAACTTTTACCAAAGAAAATCCTACTATTTTATATAATTCGATATACGATGACCACAAAAAGTATTATCACATATCCTTATTTTCCAATGAAGCGTTTCTTTATCAGCTCCTATATTTTTCATTTTCGTAGTATCAAATGTTTATAGTCATATAAAAGTATTACTAAATGATACGAAATTTAATATACTTGGATCTAATTGATTAGTATATAAATGCTATAATAAACACTATGATATGCCAATAATTTTTGAGCCATCATAAGTGCTATTAGAAACAGTGATTTGTATACATACATAATGACCCACTCTCAGCTCGAAGACGTAGTTTCCGCGCCTTTTATCTCGGCATTGCGCCATTCTTGTTGGAAGACGCGACGGAAAGTTTACGTACAAGTAATGCTAATACGGTTATACCTAATTGTTTCAGTCTAACGTCGTTGTCCCGCTAAACGTAGCCCCGACTCTTCGTGATAATTGGCGAAGGGCGAGAGTAAAGGAGTACCCGCGTGAAACGATAAGGCGCCTGCGTGTCGTTTCATCCCTCTCTCCTCTAAGGATGATTGTAACGCGACAAAATTAATAACGTATCTCGTCGTCTGCCCACTTTCTTAATTTCTATCTTAATTCCTTTCTTTTGTGCACGAGTTACGAGTATTTTTAATTTTACTGAACAGCGCGAAAGAATTTATTTCTGGATTAATACATCGATTGAGTTTTGAGCGTGAGAAAAACATTGGCTCGTGGCGTGACAGGAACTCGTTAAATCCACGGTTTGAATGAAACGAAACAAACGCAAGAAATCGGGATACAGCAAAAAAAAGATGACGCGTACGTGCTGAAATCGTATTATTCGATGGCCGGAACCATTACGGAAAACATCCTGCGGAAACGTTACTTTTTTGATACTAGATTTACCGAAAAATTCTGTCGACCTTTGCTTGTATATCTACGATTTTATTCGGAAGTTTTTTACGAATCACAGATAGACTTCTCATTCTTACAACAAAAACTATTAAAAATTGGACGCATGTACCCTAACATCGTTGGATCGAAATAACGGGATCTTCCATTGTGATTGAACTTTGGTATTTTCTTTTGAACATTTCCGGTGTCGTTCGGAAACCATTCGCGTATGACGCCAACGTAGCGTCATCAGCGATCAACTTGTTAAACGTTACAAATAACGAAATTTATAATTTCCTTTTCGTATCCTCCCTTCGATAAGCTGGTAGTTTGTTTAAATATTTATGAAATTCTTAGACGGAAAAAATGTTTGATGTTCCAAACCTGTGGAGTGTAGAGAAGAACATTAATATATTAAGAATGGAGAGTTGTTCTAGAGCTACATAATCGCCATATCGGTAGAAAACAGTTGTGAGTAATACGGGATATTATATTGCAGGCTTAATGATTGAAAACTTAGTTTCAAGCAATTGATTTCTTTTCTTGGAAAGAATACCAATGTGAAGTAAATTATTTTTCCCATGTGGGCAGTAACATATTATCACGAGATACTCGATGTCGATGGTAAACTTAAAGTGTAGTATCCCTTATATTCTATCTTCCAATAAAAACTATGTAGCAACTTACAATTCAAATTAGTTTCTACATAAGAATAACAAACATATGTACATTTCATTCATCATGTACAACTCTGATTAAATTCAACCTTTAGCACTAAAACACGAGACCTGTCACCAGGGAAAAATATCATTTACCCAAAAGCTTAACCTAAATTCCTTTAATTTATTCCAACCACGCTGCACACTTCCACAAAAACATAATAAAACTTCATTTGCGTTACCTGCACACGTCCCGTCTACTTAGGAAAAATATTAGACGACGAGAGAAACAGACACCCGATATATGCAAATATATAAAGCGAAATACGCGGCCATAGAAAAATTATTACACGTTAGAACGCCAGACAAACGACGTATACTGATAAGCCCAGAGCTAATGTTCCACATTTTTCCATTGTTAGACGTTTTAGTGTCGAACGAACAACAATGAATATACAATGTGGATGTCATCCGTCTAGAGAAAATGGCGATCGCGTAAACAACGTCGTGTATCCAGCTCACGTCGTTTCAAAATGTTTAAAACGATATAAATAGTTAATTTGTCAAGCAAAATTTCCTGTTATTCCAAGTAAATGTCACACCTCCTTTATCGTCGTCGTTTCGTAGCAATTAAACGAATTAGCTTTTTAACCGGCGACGAGAGCAATTATACGACCACGAGATTAATGGCGTAACTCGCGGGCGATGAGCCTTATCAAGCACTTTTTCATTGCATTCTTCGGCGACACGTGAACAACCGACCACAGATTGAACGAGATTTTCAATTACGGAGAGCGATTGTTCGCGAAAATACGTTTTTCTTGGGACCCGCGTTATTAGACTATCGTCAGTGGTTTCCAACTGGTCTTGGATACTGGTATGGTTTGAGAAATCTGATGGTTTTGTGTGTGCTTTCGTCTCAAAGATTTTATGAGAAAGACGATGCGATATAAAATATAGTGGAGAAACATTGGACCATAATGCTTTTGTTACTTGTCCGATGTTAATTACCGCTTTAGTTTTCATTTCTTATCTGATTTGATGTTTTGATTTATTTTTAAGAAATTATTAAAACGATTCCATGCAAAGATTCTCTACGTTTTTGCTTCCAGACAATTATAAGGTTGAAACAATTCCAAAGGGGTACGAGATAACCATGAGGCTCACTATAAAATCCATACAGCCCCAAGACTTCGGGTCGTACAGATGCGTGGCAAAAAATTCATTGGGAGAAATGGATGGAAAAATCAAACTTTACAGTGAGTAAATTGAATTTTATTATTTATAGTTCAGAATACACTGTATCAGAGAAAAGCATATTATTTGTTATGAATACTTGATATCTCTTCTATCAATTACTGTGCGGAAATATACTGTGAGCTCGAAATGATACCAGGTATCGTTAAAAAATCACATATTTTATGAAAAGCTTATCGAACATTCTGTTTAATGTAGAACTAAATAAAGTCGTATGCTGATATCCATTAAAAACATTACAAGCTTGCAATAATTAATAACGTGCTAACCAAGCAGCAAACTAGAGAGCGCTACAGTCGCTAAAAAATTCGCCTCTTTTATAATAAAATGGAATCACATGGTAGCTCCAATCATAAATATTACACAAGCTTCTAAAAGCGAATAATAAAATACGCGGAAAATTGTGCGTTTCATAAAATCCTTCTTCCGCCCAGGGTTCCTTGGTAATTTCTACAACATGTATAACGTAATCCACGTTATTCATTGAAGCTTAAAACCAATAGAAAATAAAAATCTTTTAAATGAATGCATTAAACAAATTCCTTATCGTGATTTTATAAATACATGTTACCGTAGAAGAATCAATTATACCCAGAGTTAAAATTAGTTATACTATTGTAAAATAATTTACAATAGAAATATAATACCCAACCACTTACTGTACGGATGCAGATTTAAAATCCAAAGGCAAAAGTAAATTACCTAAAAGACATACAACATAGAATTCTAGCGGTACAATAAATAATCTGGCAATGAGCGATATAAAGCTTATAATTAAAAGTCGGAACAGAAAAGTTATATAAAAGTTGGGATTAATTAATACAACTTCTGCATATTTAATGTTTTCGATTTTACGATTATCGTGTTATTATTTTTAATAAAAAAAAGGTTCATAGAACAAGAGGTTTCATACGTCGTCAAGTTAAACGAATTTGTTCAACGGTCGTAATTGCGTGGTAATTTCATAACTGTGCAACTTTTCTGCTTATCAGTTCTCGAAATCCTTTCGTTATCGTAACTTCCGTTAATTACATGGCTCTGTAACTACTCGATAATATCGAATCGAGGGTGCGAGAGTTGATGAGGAAAATCAAGGGAAAAGGACAGAGGGAGAAAGAGAGACTAATCCCACTTGAATTTTGTCGATGAACTTCGAGTAGCAAGGACTTTACGGGCCACTCTATCGCAGTCAATTAATTCATCTTAATAAATGTAGTTCCACTTTGATCACTGTTTCAGGTCAAAGATGGACTTTAACAAGAAGTGTGCAAAAATTTCCGACTAGCTAGATCTCTTACTTTATATTTCGAGAGCGGTATTTGAAAGAATTTTAAATAATATTATATAAATGTATGATAGTATCTATTTATTTGTACCGTGTTCTTTTACTTGGTATGCTCTCACATCTCATATACTGGTTAAAATTCTCTTAGATATCACTTTTAGAATATAAAGTAAAAAATCTATTTGTCTACTAACTTTTGCACACCACCAATTGCTATAATTTCCTTGATATTACTGAAACTTATTAGAATTAATCCTATTATAAGTAGGATATGTATGTTTTATATATTATAGTCTATATTATTATATTGTTGTGTTTATATATATGTTGCTAAAAGAAAAATCTATCCCCAAAGGATTAAAAGGAATACATTTGTTTTAAGTGGTGTGCAATCGACATTGATGCGTCAATCGGCTTAAAATTGTTTAAATAACGTATGCGTATCAGCCATCTGGTTCAATGCTGCCGCAAAATAACAGAAGTACAATATAATTGAACCACCGGGAGTCGTCGTTAGAATTCGCGATATTCAATTAGCGCGTGTAATATGGAATTACTGTGTCCAGTGCCGTTTAAAAATTTTCATAAATCGGGGCTATCGCGCACGCTAATTTTATCGGAATCCCAAGGAGGGGTTCGTAGATCGAATTTTATTACTACGATTAAATGTAACGATCGTATAACTTGTGCTTTGGTTAAGCTTAAGTGGTTCTACCGAAAAGTTAGGAGATTAGTTTTACGGATTAATTGAGGTGGAGAACAAATTAATAAATTATTTACTGGTTACTTTATAAAACTTTGTTCATCCTAACTTTATTATTCAAACAAAGATTTTAATAGAAGGATGGTAATTATTTTGACAGATATGGGAAGTTTAGAGGAAATTTTTATAAATTTGCCTTTCAACATAAAAACTAGATGACAAGTGATTCTTCACAAGTAACCAGTAAATTGCAAGTTATTACTCATGAAACCAGATATAGCGGTGGTTTATTAAGCTAAAACGAAGTATAAGTATGAATGCCATTAACTGGTAGCTAGCGATCAGAAGAAATATAAAACAAGAGTTCCGTGTTGCTCACCATTTAGCTCTTCTCTCTTCTTTTTTCTTTCACTATGTTATTAACGATTTTCGTTTCACTACGCGAAGAAACTTCTTCGTTACGTGTTGGTTGAAACGCGAAAAATTTATTACGCTAAATACGTAACGTGTTACAAATAATGGCTGAACTTTCTTCCAGCTTCGCTTTAGTTTTGTAACTTGTTAATTATCACGATGCTTCCTTACACCCTGTTCGGAAAGTAATTTAGCCGGTGAAATTCGGATTAATTATACAAGCATACGCGTCCACAGTCAGGCGAGCTGTGTAAACCTTATTTACTTCGAGAAAGCATCTAAACCGTGTGTAATCTCACTCGAGCAAATTTGATGATACTGTACTAATTAGAAACACCTTAAGTTCAAAGAAACAGAGAATCCTAATCAGTTTATTCTCGCCATTGAATCTCTCAAAATGATAAATCGTGAGTATTAATAATTTAAAATGTTAATCTTTCTCCACATTTTCTGTCTCTTATCTTACATTGCTTCTATGTAGTATCATCTTCTTACATTCTCAATGCCAATTTTAATAGAATGATACAGCTATGACTTGGTTATGAATTTTTAGGCAAATTAGTTTTATTAGTCCTATGGATACAATCAAAGAGATAGGATTTAAATAGGGATTCTACATTTACTTATTAAGCATTATAACCATTACTTTACTTTGGATATTTCATATATCACATATCTTAGATGCATGTTTTGCATTTTTGTATCTTTAATTTTCGCATAAATGCATAAAATTGCGCAGTCCAGTTATGACATATGAGAGGCGATAAAAGAAATATCCAGATTACTGCTACAACACTTTACGTATGAAGTATTAATCTACATCGTAATGGTCGCTTTCAAGGAACTCTTATCCAACAGCTTATACATCATTGCTAACAACTTCCTCATTTCAGGAGCTCCGATATTTTCTTTTATTTTGTTAATTGCTGAAGAACAATGTTGACCTGTTATTTAATGAATCTTTAAGTTAAACCTCTCTTTTATAACATCAAATTACATTTACACAATATGGTGGGATTATCAGGACCAAGAAATATAATATACGTAGTCAAGTTTAGTCTTTGTTTTAATTTCAAATCTCATTCCGATTTATGGCATTAAATTTATGACTGTATAAATTCTATATCAGGCACACGCTGTTATGAAAACAGATAGTTACGTTCAAAAACAATTAGAAGTATAGCTATACTTCGCTTCTTATTTAATTGAATTCACTGGTTTATAAATTCAAGAAAAGACACATTCGCTTTTATGCATTGCTTTACTTTCTTAGATTCTTAATCGCAATTTCAACACAGTGACCCAGAGCTCACGAGATATGTCGTGTACAGTAAATTAAACGCTGAGGTTGGTTCACGAGATTATGTCCGTGTCATACTGTACGAATGTTATACTTGAAACTAGACGTCACAAGGGAGTTTCCGTTTTGGTTATGGCCAAAAACAAACGAACGTCATTTGAACTAAGCGAGGTTTAATTATCCACGAAGAAATTTTTAATATCGAAACTGAACGCAATAACAAAATCGTAAATGTTATCTATCGAAAAATAGAAACAAGAAAATGTATATTTACGATAGAACTTGCTACTTGATCAAATAAATCTCACCAATTTCTATAAATTGACAGATACCTATTCCGCAAATCTTTGTTCTGTTTTTAAATGAGAATAAACTGCTCCAAGTACAAATTGATTTGATACGAAACTTGTATCGAGTTTGTAAATGAAGTAATAGAATAAATAATTAAAGAAAAAACTTTGCAAATCTTACGATCTTTCGCGTTAAGTTAGACAAGGATAGAACAATTTTATGTGTCACGTGTTAACATATACGTACCAGTTCCAGGATCGTTTATTTTACTCGAATTATTTCTCTGTAGTTATTTCCATTCGTAATAAGAATTAACCCCTTTTACAAACCTTTACGATCCTTTACAAGAAGATTGCATCATACACCTTTTTTAAACTACTGCAAACGTTTGCATTCGGCTCAAAGAACTCGAGAAGTTAGAGGCCAAAGAGAAACATCGTCTTGCAGGTACTTTCTCGTTAGCTAATGATGTTAGTACCGTAATTCAGGAAGAAAAAAGGAAAGACTAAACCAGCGCCAGAGAATTTCAGACAGCTTTAAATTATGACGGGTCGTATAGCACGTCATGTCGCATCATATCATGTCAAAATTTCCTACATAAACGTCACGTGCTTGTACTGGACATGTTCACGCGGCCTAAACCACTCGAATGATTCCAGTTATTGATTTCAAGGGAAATCACGTTCCATTATAATCTTTTTTTTTATATGAAAAGATTATTGAGACTCATATAAAGACATATGTAAAAAGAAATCAGTCAGGAATATGTTCAGTATTTTTGAAACAGTTAAGACATTTTCTATAGCTGTTATACTATTTGCTATTGAAAAGTGTAGAATACTAATCAGACATAATAACTTAATCAGAAATTTCTACTGAAATTGAAATTAATGAAGACTAATTCGAAATATGTCAATTGTTCCGCCAAAAATAAATATGATACAATTTATCTTCAACAAAGATGGGACGCAAATACAAATATAAAAAGAAGGTGATATAATTATAATTA